TTTTTTGTTATGAGTGTGTGTATGTGTGTGTGTGTTGGGGTGGGTGGGGGGGAAGAGAGAAATGATTCAAACCTCAGGTCTGGCCTGGCCAAGGTCCCTCCTATACTTCCTGCCTAGCCAAGCCTCAACACTGGGGATTTGCTGCTTGATTTCATCATGATCAGCTCCAGAAATGCCAACAGTCTTCCCATTGGGGTGCTTCTGGGCTGGAACAAGAGAGTGAGAGAGAGAGAGAGAGTCAGAGATCAAAAAGAAACATACACATATGATGGGAGGCATGGGTGATAATGTACTGGGCAGCAGGCTTTGGCAATCAGCTTCTCCTCAGCAATGAAGTACTTCTGACGCAGCTGAGCTTCCATATTCTTGATAGTAGTAGTAGTAGTGGTGGTGTTGAGGGTTTGGCAACAATGATTGAGGAGCAGCATCCTCCTCTTTATATTTGATTGGTGCTTTTATTATTTGTAGACACATGTTCCAAACTCCTGCAGAAAAAGCAAAGAAAGAAAACTCCTTGATGAGAAAAAGACAAGAACAGTTCCCCAACAAGAAGAAAACAGAAAGAAAAATACCCACCTTTACAAAAGTCAAACTTTACTTAGCAGCAGGGCTGTTGCTGCTGCTGCAGCCTTTGTTCCACCACTGACTGATCCACAAGCAAAGAGCTTATTTGATATATATATCACTTGTACCTCATCCTTTTGGCCTCAAACCTTTTCTTTGCAAGACCAAGTCCTCAGCTTCAAAATGATATATACAAAAGTAGGTCATGAACAATCACAGCCATGTCATGAGGGGCAGTGCTGTCAGCCTCCCCTAAAACAACAACTCACCAAAAGACAAAAAACAGAAAACATCATGACTTGTTTGTGGCCAAGCAGCAGCCAATAATGAAAAAAAAATGTGTGTTTCAGCACTCTTTGTTTGCATCATTGACCATGCATGTCTTTGACAACCAGCACCACCACCATGGCATTGCACTCCATGGCTGCCCCTCTCTCACTGCATGCTCTTTGTTCACACCCAACTTGCCACCATCATTTCAAAAACCTGTCTTTCTTCCTCTTTGGCCTCCAAACCAAGCCAGGCCACACCACAAACTTTGGCCACCACAACACAAACTTTTGCCATCTCACCAACTTTTTTTTTCTTGATGGCTTGACAAAACAGAAAATGAGTTTGTCACTTGACCATGTTGTCACAAAAAGTGAAGCCTCTCCCCAAAAGTTGGGCCTTTCAAAAAATGCTGCCAAACTTTTGCTGCCTTGGCCATGTTGCCAACTTTTGCCACTGTGGCCATGCCACACTGTCATCATTGCCATGGCCACCACTGCCACTGCTGTCTGATGCAGCTGCACACTTCAAAACAAAATGTGTCACATCAACTAAAAAACCAGGATATAACCTGGCATCTTGATACAACTGCACTCTCCAACCACATGACCATATCAAAAAACTGGGATACTACCTTGTATTATATTGAGGCAGCCACGCCAGCACTGGCCTCTGGTGTATCAAATCATGACACCACCACCACCACCCACCACTGCCACCAACAACAAGCAGCACACAAAAGTTGACATGATCCACAAAGCACCAAGTCTGCCACCATGCTGAGCACCAAGTTTGCCACTACAAAGCACCAAGTTTGCCTGCCAAACTTTCCCATGTTGCACACCAAGTCTGCCACCATGCTGAGTGCCAAGCTTGTCAATGTTGTGTTGGCTAAGTCTGCCCATGTTGTGTTGGCCAAGTCTGCCACTATGAAGCCACCAAGTTTGCCCCATCTTGCATTGGCCATTGTTTGTCCAAGCCAAGTGCCATGTTTGCTCATATTGTGCACTGAGCCACAAATCTTTAGTCCCCCATTGTCATGGTTGGCACAATGCTGCTGCTGGTTGGTGTCATTGCTGTGTGTTGTTGTTTGTTCCTTTTTGGTTTGGCTGTTGGTTGCTGATTCCTTCTATCAGCCTTGAGCACTTGCTGACTGCTGCTGTTTTTTTGCTGCTGCTGCTGCTGCTGCTGCTGCTACTACTGTCACCTGCTTGCCCAAGCCATGACTTTGGTCATTTCAGCCAAGCACAGCAGAAACATGACTGAGACCATATTGCCACACACCATGACTAGCCACAACAACAACAATGACAGCAACAACAACAACAAGTCATTCAAATTGCACTGCCACACATCCAACCCAAACATTCCCCAGCCATTGCCATGCTTTGGCCAACCCCCATGAGCTGGGCCATTTTGCCCAACCAACCCACACCAAAAGGAAAAACCAAACCAGTGCTGCCCACTCTCAAACACCCAAACACCACAACCAGGCCCCAGTTTGCTAGCCCACTCACTTGCTTGCCCCTCCCCCCATCCTCCATTTGTTTGCTCCTTCTTGCTCTTGGTTTTGCTGTCACTGTAGCCAACCAACCAAACAAACAATCAACAATGCACCCCTGACCTTTTGTCACCCTCCCCACCACAGGCAACCATGCACACCAAAGACACTGCCATGGCATTGCACTCTGCAGCCACCCCTCTCTCACTGCATGGTCTTTGTCTGAGCCCACCCCACCACCATTGTTTCAAAAACCCATGTTTTTTTCTCTTTGACCACCAAACTGAGCCAGGCCAAACCTGACAAACTTTTGCCATGTCACTCTCACCAACTTTTTGCTGTGTTGCTCATTCACCAACTTTTTTTTCTTGATGGCTTGACAAAACAGAAAATGAGTTTGTTGGCTGACCATGTTGTCATGAAAAGTGAGGCTGTCCCCAAAAGTTGGGCCATGGCAAAAAAGTTGATTTTGCCACCAACTTTTGTCGCCATGCCACCAACTTTTGCTGCCATCACCATGCTGCCATTGTTGCCACCATGCCCATGCAAAATAGATGCCAGTCTAGTTGCACAAAAAAAAAATGAAGCTCAGCACAATCACTCAACTTGGCTTGACTCTACTTGGCTCAGCTTGGCTTGGCTTGGCTCAGCTTGGAGTGCCAATGTATGTGACTGCTCCAACTCAACCCAACTGGCATCCATGCCCCCCCCCCCTTTTTGCTGCCACCACCTGCCACAAAACCCCACCACCACACAGGCCAAACAAACACATCAAAACCTGGCCATGGCCCCAACTCTCAAGCCACCCCTTTTGCCAACAGTCCTTTTACATGTCCAACTCACTCAACCCATGATTTTGACTAACAACAACAACATCACCACACAAAAAGTTGAAAGCCCAAACACACACACACCCCAAAGAAAAAAGAGACATCATGCTGAGCAACCCAACTTTTTTTGCCCATGCTGCAGTGGCTGAGTGACCCAACTTTTTGCCCATGCTGCACTCAGAGTGCCACACTTTGCCCAGACAAAAGCAAGCACCAAATTTGCCAACACCCAAGCACCACACTTTGCCAACCTTGCACACCAAGAAAAGGCTCCACCACCATTTGTGCTCACCATGCTTGGCACAAGTGTTGGTCAATGTTATTATTGTTGCTGGTTGATGGGTTCTTTGGGTTAGGTCATATCATTGGGCAGGGACCTACCCAGCCAAAATGCTCTGGGGGTCCAAATTTCATTCAATTCCACCATTCATGAATCATGGAATTGGCAGAAAACTTGACCCCCATACAAAATGGCTGGAGTAGGTCCCTGCCCAATGATACAGCTTAGAACTGATTCCTCCCACATCACTCCTGACCACATGCCTAAGGGGGCAAAAGTGGGGGTTGACCCCCACCTTCAGTTACACACACCCCCCTCTGGTGTTTGGATGGCCACACCAGCTTGTGTGGTGGATTGTATGATGGGGAAGAAGACTAAGAGACAGTACACAGAGGAACAAAAGGCCCACAAGGTTGAGGCGCCTCTGTCATGAGGCTGCTGCACAGTGAGCTGTGGCTGAATGGGCCTTCATAACCATGGAATGAGAGATGGTGAGGATGAGCATGGAGATGGAGATATTGGAGTGAGAGCTGCAGATGACAATGGAGGAGCTAGCTGCAACAAGGGAGCAGCTCAAGGACAAGATGGAGCTGGTTGGCCTGGTGCTCATTGAGCTCAGGTCAGCAAGGAGTAAGAGGGCACAAGAGAATGAGTGGCTGAGTGAGACAAATGAGTGGCTGAGTGAGACAATTGAGCAGCTGGTGACTGCTAAGGAGCAGCTAGCCTCTATGACAGAGCAGATGCTCACAGTGACAGAGAGGCTGACAGCAACAGAGGAAGCCCTCAATCACATCACCAATGGCAATATCCATCTTGCTCACCAGATCCAGCAGCTCCAGGGGGCACTTGTGGAGCAGCATGACAATGAGAGTGTATTTTAATAACAGTGAGCAATGCACTTTTTACTGTGAAGAAACTAAAAATGCAACAACACTCTGCAGGCACTTGGTGGCCTCAGAGACAGTGAGGGCCAGCAGCACAACCAAGCTGGTGAGGATGACATAGGTGAGATGGGCCAGGCCATGTTGTTGGTGGTGTGATGGGTGGGAGGACCCTACACTATAAGCACTTTGAATACACTGCTGGCTCAAGACCCAGCAAATGGCTATCAAATGTGATACATTCAATCTCACACACACCTGGGTGATCCTTTGTAGGATGTGGTGAGTACCTCTGCTGCCTTCTGAGAGGGTGCTACACCAGAAAACTTGTTGTGGTGAAGAAGGGATAGAAGGGTGTTTGAGGCCTTATCTGTGACATTGTAAAGGTGGGGTCTTGGTGTGTTGCTGCTCTATTTTGTTTTTTTATATCTTCTTCCATTTACCCCTCTTTTCCTTTCATGTTTTCGTGAAAGAAAAAAAACGGAAATGCAGACGATGGTCTATTATTAAATAATGAAGCATCAAGTTTCTTTGGAAAGCTCCACAAAAGAAAGGACCTGTATGAATGGAAAGACCACGCTGGATGCCTTCGTTTGCCAGATGGTGCCGCAGTCCTACTTCCATCTCAACGCCACCTGAAAGAGCTGCCGTGGTGCCTCTTGTGGACTCCACCCCGGTCCTGTGTGGTCTCTTTCTGAAGAAGAACGCTGGTAACAGCGCTCACCTGGTCCAACACAGGGACTATGTGCGTCTAGGAGTCCACG